TTGTTTTTCTTTCCTAGTTTACTTGTAAGTTTCAAGGAGGGGCTGCAGCTCGCGCCTCTCGTTGGGATGATGTATGAACTCACTCTAATTTGCTTATGAATCAATAAACTTATTATTATTCATAAAAAAAAATCTTAATTGACTTCATTTTCTTTCTTTCTTTGTTTTTTTTTTTTTTTTGAAACAGGTATTGCATGAATCGTATAAACCACAAGATTCATGATTCAAATCATAGGATTCAAAGAAAAATCTTAAGGTTTTTTTTTTGGCAGAAAAAGAATCATACATGAGATTCAAATTGAAACCCTTGGGATTCATGATTTAAATTCTGAGTTGTATTGTAAACTGGAAGGGTCTGTTTGGTTTGCAACGGGATTGGAATCGGAATTGCCAATTTCTCCTGCTTGTCTGGTTCAGACAGGAATTGGAATTGGAATCGGAATCAGCTGGAATGGATTCTCATTCCTGAAGGAAATGGGAATGCAGTTCTGATTCTACCCAACCAAACAGTCGGAATCAGAATGGATCATTCCAGTTCTGATTCTAGACCCCTATTCACGTGAACCAAAAGGACCCTAAGATTTTTGCAATGTTGCTTGGGTGTATCTGGGCACCGTTTAACTCCTCCAGTCACAGAGAACTTCAAATATTGGCTTAGACTGTTGATTACAGGACATTTTGTGTTCTAGGATCCAAATTGGGTTCTCGGGTGGCATCAGAACTGAGATCTGAATAATTGATGGATAACTTGAAGCAGATGATATAAGAGTGGAAAAATTCATACTCGGGATGCTCTTTGTTGGAAAAAATGTTGGTACATTACAATGATTGCCAAGTCAAGCATTCTTGGAATTACCTGGATTTTGGATTTCATAGAACAGAACCTCGTAATTTGCAAAAACCTTTTCAATATTTTACCAATGTAAGTTCGGATTGGTTACTATTTTTTGAGTCGTAGTAATTGTTTTAGATTTTTTTATTATAATTTGCATTTGTTTTCTTATTGTGATTCAAATGTTTATTTAAAAAGGAAGTTTCAAGTCTACCAAGTAATTTTTTTCTGGAAATAAGTAGGGGTATATGTCATGAGATTTTCTTTTTCCTCCTTCATAATTGTTGTGAACGAATTTTTTAACCTGTTCTTGGTTGTCTTCCTAGGATATTGTATGTTTTGTTGTTATTTTTTACAAGGTTCATTTTTCAGGAAAGGCACCAGCTTCTTATGCTTTTTCCAAGAATCTTTAAACAAATTTGTTAACATTGAAATCCATTCCTCCTCTTGATTCTGCTATGCAAACCATTTTCCTGCTTTTTTCTATTTCTGAGTAAATTGTCCATATGATTTTGTTTTACCCTATGTCAGCAAAATTAAACTGTGTTATTGCCGTTGGTTGTTCATGAATCACACTTACAGACTTAGTTCTTTATATGCCATTTTTTTGAGTGTCTCAGGACCTTAAACCAATTATTTCATACCTTCCACCGAAAGAGATGGAGTTGGTCCATAATGCTTTGAAGGTAAATTTATTGAAGGTTTCATGTGTCGATCATTTTGTATGGCTATTTCGAACTATCTTTGGTGATGTGATATACCTAATTCTGATTATTTTCCAGTGCAGCTAGCTTTTGAGGCTCATGATGGTCAAAAGAGGCGAAGTGGAGAGCCCTTTATCATTCATCCTGTTGAAGTTGCACGTATTCTTGGAGAACTCGTAAGTCAACATGAAAAATGATCTTTACTTTTAACAATGCCAATTCTCACCAGTTTATGGTTTATTCAATTGCTTAAGAGATTTCTTGTGCATTTCTTTGGCTATCTGAAGTATAAACTGATCCTTGTTAGTTCCTTCCCCAGGAATTGGATTGGGAATCTATTGCTGCTGGATTGTTACATGACACAGTTGAAGACACAAATGTTGTTACATTTGAAAGAATTGAGAAAGAATTTGGTGCCACTGTACGCCATATCGTTGAGGGAGAGACTAAGGTTCTGTTTTTATTTGTTGAAATTTACTTGTGTGCAACTTCTGTTTGTTTTGTTGACTCTGTAGATGGATAAATTTAATGCTAAGTCCTTTGCCTTACCTTGTCAATTAGGTATCCAAACTGGGTAAGCTAAAATGTAAAAATGCAGATGATACAGCACAGGATGTAAAAGCTGATGACCTGCGGCAAATGTTTTTAGCAATGACAGAAGAGGTGTTTTCTTTTTCTTCTTTTATTAATTGTACGGATCAATAATGTTGCGTTATCTAAGCTGGCAACCTTTATCAGGTCCGTGTAATTATTGTCAAACTAGCTGACAGATTACACAACATGCGCACGCTTTCACACATGCCTCCACATAAGCAGGTAATGCCTTCATCAACTTGATAGCCAATGTGCCATCTGGTAGGCAGACAGTAGCATTATTTCTAAAGTTTCTATCGTGTTGTGTACAGTCCAGCATAGCTTTGGAGACATTGCAAGTCTTTGCCCCTCTTGCCAAGTTGTTAGGAATGTACCGGATCAAGGTGTGTACCTTTGAACCTTTAAAAAGCCAAGTGCCTGTTTTCAATTCTAGATGAGCTGCAATGCTTAATCATGTTCTGTAGATTTACATATTGGCCATCCCCAAAGTTAATGCATATTTTTATCATGAACCTTTTGTGATCATCAGTCATGTTTTGAGATTAGTGTCCTGCAGATTGGTGCTATCATCATCTCTCTTTAAAATTTGACTGCCATACGAAATCAAAATGTATTAGGAAGTAGACCTATTCATGGGTCGGGTTTGGGCTGGGCTTTGCCTCTATATCAACAGAACACAACACATTCAGGCCTGAGCCTGAGCCTGAGCCCAGCCCTCATATAGGCCTGAAGCCCGGCCACGAAATTGAGAAAAAAGATTTCTTTTGCTCAACAACAAAACTGATTTATTTATATTAAATGACCTCAAAACCCAAAAATACTGAAAGATCTCACTATGGCTTGACCTCTTAGTCCAAGCCCAACTAAGAGCGGGCCATGCCAGGCCAGCCTGTTGGACTACCCGGCCCATGAACAGGTCTATTAGTAAGTTTCAACTGTGTCATTGCTTTATCTACTAGTATTCTAGTAATTTCTGGTTTCACATACAATAAAAAAATTTCTGGCTTCCTACTTTCAGAAATCGACTATATTCTAGTAATTTCTGGTCTATCAGTCATATGGTTGCTCGGTTTGGAAGGGAATTGAAAAAAGTTACAATGCTTTTAGCAAGGAAATCAAGTTTGTTGTGGGGAGAGCCGGAGAGGTAATAGTCAATTTCTGGATGGATGTTTGGTGTGGAAACAACAGGCTAATGGCTGATTTCCCTGAGTTATTCGCAATTGCATCAAACAAGGAAGCTAAAGTGGCTGATTATGTCCAGTTCCAAAATGGGATGATTATCTGGAATCCTACTTTAGAAGGGCTTTGAATGATTGGGAGATTGAACCATTAGGTAGGCTTCTTCAATGGTTGTACAACAACCAAATAGATGTCAATGCAGCAGACAAAAGGGTCTGATTAGCAGCAAGCAAAGGCCAATTCTCGGTGAAATCTTTCTATACCAAACTGGTCCAGGAGGAAGAAGATATGCTTTTCCCTGCGTATTTAATCTGGTGCAAACACAGCCCATCGAAGGTATCTTTTTTCTTCTGGACTGCCTATTTAAATAAGATTCCTACAAGAGACAACTTGGTTAATAGGGGTGTGGTGATTGACTCTAAAAGGTGTGTCTTGTGCAACAATGATGAAGAGTCTGTTGATCACCTGTTCCTTCACTGTGGCTTCACCCACAAAATCTGGGTGAGGATTCTCAGAATTTTTGAAACCAGAAGTTGCTGGCCAAAGTCAATGACAACTTTTGTCAACAGCTGGAATTTACAAGGCCTAAGCAAGAAAGGGAAATGGTTATGGCATCTGATTCCAGGTGCAGTGTTATGGGTGATCTGGCAAGAAAGAAATTCAAGGATATTTCAAAACAGAAGCTGTCAAGAGGACGAAGTGTGGCAGAAGATCGTGGGGAAGCTCTGTTCTTGGTCATCGACTAAGTTTAAAGTTGACGGTTCTTTTTGTAGCTCTCTGTTTATATTTGAAAGTCTGTTTGTTTCCCTCAATGGTTTGTGGTTTGGATCTATTCTTGTATCTCATTTGTACAGCCTCTGGTTGTACTTTTCTTTTTGAATGAATTGATACTTCTTATCAAAAATAAAAAATAAATAAATAATTCTGGCTTCAGATCCTTGGAAAAGAATCCACTATTTTTGTAGCAGGAAATGTTATGCCATGATTAGTTTTCATTTTTTTTTTTTTGAATGATGCAAAATTTCCTTTCTAAAATTGTCTGCCCTAGGTAGCTAACCTTGAAGTTTATACTGTTTCACTTTCAAGTGTCGTATTTATCTATAATCATCCTATTCCTTGATGATGACTTGCAGTCGGAACTGGAAAATTTATCCTTCATGTACACAAATGCCCATGATTATGCTAAAGTCAAGAGAAGAATTGCAGAACTTTATAAAGAGCATGAAAAGGAACTTGCAGAGGTACTGCTCATGTCACCTTCCACAAGGTTTTATTGCTTAATATGCACACAAAAAGGATGTCACAAATAGCATCTAAGTCTAGCCTCACAAGCATTGTCCAATTGTTTCTGGGTGTGGTTTTCTGCTTAATAAGCCCCTTTTCCTTGTTCCAGGCAAAGAGAATTTTAATGAAGAAAATTGAGGATGACCAATTCTTGGATCTTATGACATTAAAGGCAGAAGTTCGCTCTGTATGTGAGGAACCTTACAGGTTAAGATATACCTCTACCTCATCTCTGTCAGGGCCTGTTTGGGAGGGATTAGTTTCATACATAGCTGCTTTAAAGAAGCTACTGGAAGAGGCTTGTCCAGAGGACCAGTTAAATGGCTGTATGATTATTAAATTGTGCTCTTTTTTTACCAAACATTGTTTATAGGTTTCTGGGTGGGCCCCACCTTCCAAAACCAACAGCCATAGCATGGAATTCCCTCCCAAATGGGCACCTGTTATAAGACAGCTATAGAAATAGAGTATCATGTATGAATTAGATACTGGAATGTGGAATGCCTACGATCATATAACTTGCTTTTCAGGTAGTTTGCCAAACTCGTAGGCAACTTGTAATTTCAACTTTGACGTATGCATGCTTTCATGCGAATAAATTCTTGAGTACATGTGTATACATGAATATAACATGTACAGGCTAATATAACCCAATGCTCAGTTGCTCACATGTCATCAATTTTCATTTTCTTTGAGACAGCTTGGCTTTTCCTAGGAAATAATACAAAGTTTGGACACAATTATAAATCAAGACCTACAATTTCAGGAACCTTATTGAGTTAATAAATGTTTGGAACCACACAATCTCTTTCCATTGGAATTAGTCATGAGTCACGACAAATCTGCAAATATCATACCAGTAAGAAATATGAAAATGTTAAAGAGATTTGGAAATCAATGATTTGTGAGTTGATCTGATGAAAAATAGCCCATTCTTGAATTAGGTTTGATGGGAGATCAGTCCTTTAAAACAGACAGTTATTGCAAGGAAGTTATTCTATGCATTCAGGCCTCAAGATGAACCTAATTTTGGGTCCCAAGGTGGATGTAATGTGCCCACATCCAGCCAGACCATAGAAACAGATGAGTCGCTCTTAATGCTGCCATGGGTCCCACTAAAGGGATGATGTAGGATCAGTGATTTTAAAGACGCCTAGCCAGGCAAGGCGTATTTTTGGGTATAACCCTTGTCTAGGACCCAGGCACAGAATTTTCAAAAGGCCCCAGGCATGTGCCTTTTGCTAATGTTGCTCATTCTTTCATCCTAATAAAAGGTATTTTTAAAAGACACTTAACGTTATAAAACCTTTTTTTTTATAGGGATTAAGAATTCAAGACCCTGATATGGACTTGTTTGGGCTTGCCTCGAGGGGCTTGGTACAAAGGCAGCTTGTAGAATCAGGAATGCATAATGTTTAATGTCACATTAACTATTTGAAGTAATCCAATTGTGAAAAAATAAAGAAAGTAAGAGTTTATGTGCTTGAATATGTTTTATATGTTATGTTTGATTTTATTTTTAAATTTTCATTTCAAATATGTTTTACATGTTATGTTTATGTATTTAATTTGAGATAATAGGCTTTTTTTAAAAAATTATTTTAAATTTTAAATTTATATTTTTAATCAATAGTGTGTGTAATACTTTTTATATTTTGCATTTTTTGGCATTTTTGAAAATTTTTAGCATTTTTTCGCCTTGTTTCAAATAGGCATGTGCTTTGTGCCTCAGGCGCAAAATAGCCCTAGCACTTCTAAAACAGTGTAGGATGGACTTCATTAATTCTTTTAGACATTTATGTACTAGTTAGTTACCATGTCATCATCATCATCATCATTCTCATCTAAGTCTTATTCCAGCTACATGGGGTCAGCTACATGAATCTTGTTTCATCATTCCATTCAGTTTAGTACCATAACATGAAAAGACAATCAGGATCCATGACCATAAGAGTTTGGCAAAAGTTTTATGCCAGCTGCCGATCTGACACAACCCTCCTTTATTTGGGCTTGGGACTGGCGGTGTAAGATAAGCTCACATTTGGTGGAGTTACTTAGTTACTACATATGGGACATATAATCATGAGATGGAGTAGGAGCCCTCTATTTTCTTTGTCCTGTTAACCATATTAGATAAGGTTCCTTTTTTTTTTTTGGAAAAGGTAGGGTAAATTTATTCATTCAAAAAGGAGTTCTGAATAGGGAGCATCAGTGACTTTTGAAAATTCCCCCTATTCTACCCTACCGGTCCCAATTTTTCTTCTGTAGACAGTTGCAGATCTTTCAATCTGATCAATCTTTGCATTGGTTTTTCAATGTACCTTGGTGTTTTTATATTTAGTTATATTATCCATTTTTATTTTTTCTTTTTATTTGGGGGGGNGGCTTGGTGCTAACTTTCTGTGATGTGTAGTTATGTATTATTCTCTCTTTCTCTCCTCTTTTTTGTGCTGCATAGTTTTTATAGTTATACGTTCATTCATTATTTGTTATTTATTGCAGCATCTATAAAGCTGTTCAGAAATCTAAAGGTTCAATAGACGGGATCAACCAAATTGCACAGGTGTTTTGATTTGCTATTTTGCCATTCATAATATCTGGAGAAGCTGGAAAATTAGGATTTGTATTATATTTGGGCTAACTTTATATAACCCTTTTTATTGTTTATTATATCATCATGTAACAGCTTCGTATCATCATAAAACCAAAGCCGCGTATTGGAGTAGCACCTTTATGCAGTTCGCAGCAGGTGAATCTTTTGCTGAAGTTATTTGGTTATGTCATTTATGGTGTGTGTATATATATAGACACACACACACATTATAGTTTTCTCATTATTGTTCTACACACAGATTTGCTATCATGTTCTTGGGCTTGTCCATGAAATCTGGATCCCCATTCCTCGAGCTGTGAGTATAATTTGCATTTTATTATGCTTCTTTTTTCTTTAACTTTGACCACAAGAGCTGAGCAGAGACATAAATATATCCTTTTGTTAGATGAAAGACTACATTGCAACCCCAAAACCTAATGGCTATCAAAGTCTTCATACGACAGTGATACCATTTCTGTATGAGAGCATGTTTCGGCTGGAAGTTCAGGTAACTTATGCCAATTATTTTTTGAAAACCAGCAGTTTCATTCTTTCAATCATTTCCCTCTCTTTGAAAAGAAAATAGTGATAAGGGAATAAAACTTTGTTCAATGTATTTTGATCTTAAAATGTTACTTGAATCTTTTATGTTGTTGTGTCTTTATTAGTTAAAAAATATTCTTTTTCATCTCTGATTTTATTTACTTTTTTTGGCAGATAAGAACCGAAGAGATGGATCTGATAGCAGAGAGGGGTATTGCTGCGCACTACAGTGGGAAGATATTTGTTACTGATTTAGTTGGACATGCCATGCTTAAGGGAAGAAATTTAAGAGGAAAAGCAGTCTGTCTGAACAATGTGAACATTGCTCTTAGGGTATTTATGAATCATCCTTTACCAAGCTAGTGGTTTTTCTTGATTGGTTGTTATTTGTAACCCTTCAAGTCTCTGGCTTGATTGGTTATCTATGGATGAATTGGTTTTCAATAGATTGGCTGGCTAAATGCTATTAGAGAATGGCAAGAGGAGTTTGTTGGGAACATGAGCTCTAGAGAGTTTGTTGATGCAATAACAAGAGATCTATTAGGGAGTCGTGTCTTTGTGTTCACTCCAAAAGGAGAGGTAGGATAACAGTGTCATACCATGCATGTTATATGAAAGTATTATAGTGTTTTCAAGTTTCTTACTCTTTTTTTCTTTTCACTTTTTTATACAGATCAAGAACCTACCTAAGGGAGCAACAGTTATTGACTATGCTTATATGATACACACTGAAATTGGCAATAAAATGGTTGCTGCAAAGGTTTACTTTTAGATCCCCCTCTGCATGACTGACTTCACTTTGTATTGATCTAATATTGTTTCTGAATCAGGATTTTAGTAACTTTTTCTGATGCAGGTCAATGGTAATCTTGTCTCTCCCATGCATGTACTTGCAAATGCTGAAGTTGTGGAGATAATTACATACAATGTTAGTATTCATCTTTCTCTCAGAATTGCATGTGCAATGCATTTTTACAAGGGATGATTATCTGTGTGTGTGTGTGTGGGGGGGGGGTCTCAAAGAGACTTCTACTCGTTACCATGAATTCTAAACAAAAACTAATGTCAGATGAGCCCCTGGACCTGGTAGCCTCCACATTATGCCTTGTTTACCAACCTCTTCTCTTGCCAAATGGGGTATTATATTTTTATACTTATTTGTTTGTATTTATTTCTCTTATTGATGATTTATTTCTAAGAACTTTTAATTTCATGTCCCAATGTGGAAACAAAGATAAAATAGATGTCAACGATTAAAAAAACGATGCCTGTAATTGTTACTATTTATGTCTGCTTTTCTCCACCTTTTCCCATATATGAACTCATGCCTTATCACGGAGTTATCCTGACCTAATCTATTATTTGCTTGTGCTTTCTTCATCTCAAAGAATGGAATGACAATCAATATTCTTTCATACTTTTGTGTATGAACTAGTTACTTTTGTGCTTGTATTTCTTGAACTAGTTTTTATTGGTTTTATGTATTCTGCCCCTTACTTTTGTGCTTGTATTTCTTGCAGTGTTGCTTCAAGTAGGCAAAACAATATATTAGAGTTGCAACTTACAAGTTAAAAGTTGAACTTGAAAGAACTGAAGGGGGCAGAGCCCCTATTTTAGATCGACAATACATAGGGAACAAATACTAAAATAAAAGAAGAAAATGAAAAAGAAAAGTAGGGGGCGGAGCCCCTGTTCTAGACCCAGAAAAGCTGGTGAAAAAAATACTAAAATAAAAGAAGAATATGAAGAATTAAAGAAGGGGCGGAGCCCCTGTTCCGCCCTTGTTTCAGACACCAATAATGAGAAAAAAAAAAGCTGAAACATGCAGGAAATTTAAGAACATAAGAAGGAGGCGGAGCCCCTGTTTTAGTCCAATAAAATGATTCAAAAAACTTGGAGTAAAGATACAAAAAGGAAGTGGAGAAAATGGGGCGTAACCACTGTTTTAAACCAGGAAACAGAGAAGAAAACTGATTAACTCACCTTTAGAGGATTGTGTGGGAACGATGGAGGCTGTTGTTCTCTCATCTTCCTCAGTTTGATACTTCAATTCTATTGTCAATGTGAAACCCTGGAAGATTAACTTTTTTTTACTTTCCTCAAAACAAAAGCATGATAACATGCAATAGGTTCTATTATAAAAACTAAAACAACCAATAAAATATTATATATTTTTTATTTTTTATTTAATAAATATCTATATAATATATATTTTCTTCAGCCCACTAAGCATGCGCCTAACATAGTTGGCGTCTGGGTGAGGCGTTCTTTGAAAAGCACCTAGTTGTCGCCTTGACAACTATGTTTGAGGTTTAGCTTTGATTCTCTCAACAAAGTAGGCTTGTGCTGGCCAGAACTTAAAGAGATTAAATAATCAATAAAACAAATAAAACAGAATTGACAAGTGGGTGAAAATGAGCTTGAGTTTAATGGTATGTTGAGCAAATAGAAAGGGCTAGTGAGGATGGCTGTTGTGCTAGTTAGAGAGTACTGAAGACATTTATTTGATAATAAAAAAGACATGCAAAGGAAAAGAAGGGAAATGATGGGAAAGTAAGAGGAGGAATTACGAAGTTGAGTATATAATTCGAAATGTAAGAAGCATGTAAGAACAATAAGAAAAACAAACCTGAAATAATAAGACATTGATTTAATAGACTAGTATTCATTTATTCATCAATTTCTCGAAAATGTGATTACATGGGTTTCTATAGAGAATTCAAAATCTCTTTCTTATGATACCCAGATACAGACACGGACATTGGACACAGATATGGGAAAAAGGATATGACTACCCGTTTTCTAAAATCTTAGACATGGATATGGGTATTGGTATCCATGTAATATGCTTATTATCTAGTTTTTGAAGCTAAATGCCATTTTTAAAGACTTATGTCTTGCCAAATTTAATTTTCTAACATATGTAGATTTTATATAGTATAATATGTTAAAACATTCATTTTACATATTTTAAAAGTGGTAAACTCTACCAGAATGACTAAAAAGGGTGGCAGGTCTCCGGGATGACTAAAAATGGAAAGTTTACTGGTTGGTTATTCCCTTTGCAATCCTTTGGGCTATATGGTTTGAGAGAAATACCAAAATTTTTGAACAGAAAACTGCATCAAAAGCAGAAGTCATCAATATGGTGGTGGGACTTATTAGAGATTGGATCTGTTCATAATGTATTTAAGGAGGATACTTTTGCTGTTTCTTCTTCCATTTTGCAGTGATGGTGGTGATATGGTCCATCCCTTTAAACCTGTGGACAGTGGAGGTTTATTGAGCACTCCTCTTTGGATGAGGGATTTATTCTTCCAGTTGCAGTTGGGCTCCTATGTAGAAAGGGAAGAGGTTATATATTGGGATATGCTCCCTCATATGGGAATGTGGTGCAAAAGAGTTAGGCTGTTTTAATAGTTTTAAATGTTAATAGATGTCATACCATATCCACTGACAAATTACCAAACCAGGAAAAAAATAGAGTATTGATTGAATGGAACTCTCAATAAGCGAATTTTCTGTATTGAGAGTATTAATGATTTGAACCATGGGGGAGGCTAGCTCCAAGAAGGCGGTAGTGCTTGCTGTTCTTGTCAGTTCAGATATGCCAAGGGGCATCTTCTCATCCCTTTCGTTAAAATATATTCTAGGAATGCTTTCTGATGGTGCGTCTGCTAGATCAGACAACTGGTCATTGTCCCTTATTATTCATGCAAAAGACCATAACTATTGCACTGAATTTCTCATTTAGATTAATGCCTGGGAAGCAATTGGGATGACAGGAATCCTTGTACCATCACTGTAGGTATATCGTTCCATGGTAGAGCCTTGCATAACATCATCTTTCACTTGCAATCTTTTCTCTCAAGGTAGGTTACTAGGTTTTGTGCCTTGTCTTCTCTTCCATTTCTTTTTTCTTTTCCATTTGATACATATTCTGACCATGCTCATTATACTAGAAAATAATCAATTTGTGGTGTCCAAAAAAAGCACTCAAGCCAATCTCTAAAAGTTGCTTGAGGAACTAGTTGGAAACATATTAGTGATATGGCAATTGGCAAGGCATCTTATGTACATTATGGTACTTGGTATGATCAAAACCTTTCTCTTAAAACACACTGAAGACAGATAGTGGTTATAGCATGGCTTAACAATTACACTAAAAATTTAACCATGCAACATGATGTGGCACCCTTGTACAAGTATCTGGGTATTATGGCTTAATACCATCCATCATCTCAATAGACATTGTGCTTCTGGTTCAAAGTATCTTTTCCTTGTGTGCCAAAAATATTTTGATTTTTCAAGGGAAGCAACTATCCTTTTTCAGATGGTCATTCTTTGAAGCATTGTTGGTCATCTCATGTCATAATTTTTGAAGCACTGCTGGTCATATCATAATTTATGTTGTTTCTATTTAGGCTCTTTCTAGCAAATCTGCTTTCCAGAGGCATCAGCAGTGGTTGCAACATGCAAAAACACGAAGTGCCCGACACAAGATAATGAAAGTAGGTATTCTTGTATGGTGATATTACATCGCACTTCCATTTTTGTGTCCTGCTTCATTAATCAATTTTCTGTCCTCTTTCTAGTTCTTGAAGGAGCAAGCTGCACTCTCTGCTACTGAAATAACAGCAGATGCTGTAAATAACTTTGTTGCTGATATTGAAGATGAAAGTGAATCAGAAGAGGTAGAAAATTCTCCTAATGTTAGCAAACCATTGTGGAAGAAGATTCTCACTAATGTTGCAGAGCTCTCTTCTTTAAAAAGAAGCAATGATGATGCTCAACACTCTCAGAACGGTAAAGTTGGAGTCCCTAAGGTCAATGGGAAGCATAACAAGAACGCACAACATATGAGTTTGAAGGCCAAGGGAGAGTTTCTGTCACAGGGAAATGGTATTGCAAGGTTGATATATGCTAACATCCCAATGTATAAGGAAGTCTTACCTGGTCTGGAAAGCTGGCAAGCTGGCAATATCACCTCCTGGCACAACCATGAAGGACATTCAATCCAATGGTTCTCTGTAATATGCATAGATCGGAAAGGTCAGCTTCCACTTTGTTGATAATAACCATGTCTAGCTATTCCCTTTTTTGTTAAGCAATGTCTGATATGCCTACGAAGAAGTTATCTACCAATGGCAAATTGTTTCTTGTCATCTGAAATGCAAGAATAGGAACCACCATTCAAAAGTTTCTCTGAGTTAGATATGCACCAAAGAAATATACAATAATAGAAATAGCAATACCTCCATATAGATCTCGGTTATATTGTCTAATGATCTGGTTGGGACCTGTCATATGTGGAGTATCCATTGCGTCTGCACCTTGAGTATCAGTAGGTCATTTGATGGTCCTTGGGTCCCGATTACCTCTATTAATATTTCACCATTCATATTAAAACTGTAGCCGACCCCATATAGTTGGGACAAGGCTTAGATGATGATCATGATAATTAATATTAAAACTTTTTATTTTACCAAAATTTCAGGTATGATGGCAGAAATTACATCAATATTGACAGCTGTTGGCATCGCCATTTGTTCTTGTGTGGTGAGTAATCGGTGATTAGAGGGTTTTTTGCTTGTTTTCCAGGAACAGGAAGCATTGCTTTTCCTTGATGTTATAACATACGTTTTTCATGAGCAGGCAGAGATTGACAGAACAAGGGGAATGAGCGTCATGTTATTTCACATTGAAGGGAGTTATGATAGTCTGGTACGTACAGCAAAAAGCTTTCATGTTTGTGCCATGATACTATCCTGCTTTATGATGCCCGTCTGAAGATATATCTCTTTATTTGCTCTTAGGTAAATGCTTGTTCCAGTGTGGACCTGGTTCTTGGTGTTCTGGGCTGGTCTACGGGTTGCAGCTGGCCAATCTCATCAGACAACCAACATTTTCTCGAATGCTAAAATATGCAACAAAGGTTACCAAATTTATATTCTTGGAGGAAATTTTACGAGATGACCATCATATTCTCTTTTTTATTTTCCTTGTATCCTTGAGGCTGAGAAATCAGTGAGTTCCACGTGTAGATTGTGGGTGTCGTAGTTCCTTGGTTTCTCATTTTTTTTTTTTTCGTTTAGAGCTCAAAGAGAAGTGATACATCATCAGCTAATTGAGTGACTCTGGAGTAAGCGGACTGTATATAGAGGAGAGGAGTGGTAATAGAAACTTGTGATAAGGAGCATCATACCATGTCGGACTTTATATACTTGTCTCTTTCTTGGATGGACATTTTAGACAACAGGCTGCATAGAGGTATTTCTATTTATATTAAAGATGAATAGATGGATATCATCATATTTGATTAAGATGAGCACCATACAACTTTGTGACCTTCACTGAGCCACTCTTTTAAGTTTTAACTAACAATCTAGCATGCACTTACCGCGTTAACCCTAAATTCTCTGTTTTAACTTTTAGGGGAGATAACTAATAAGACCATCGACGCTCTCTTTTCGTTTGGTCCTTGGCAGCGTTGCTTTTATTTGGTGGGTGGGGGGTTCTGTACTCTGTAGGTGGCTAGGTTAGGTGCCAAGAGGATGGGTTCAATTAAACAGTAAGCAAAGGGGCATAGAGAAAAAAAGCAATGAAAGGCAAAAATCCAACTCCCATGATTTTATGATCTTTATTCACAATTTCGTAACTAAATCCATTGGCAACTCGCTAAATTGCAGAAGGATGGGAAAATGGGTGTCATATTAAGAAGATAAACTGATTTGGCAGATATAATGGGCAAGTAAAAGCAGCAACACCGGCACCATAAACCACAGTAGGAAGTTCAGGAACATTGATCTTGATGGTGAATGAACCACTGTTTCTTTCTCCTCATTAAGATTCTTCCTTTCTGTGCCTGTAGTTCCATCTTCCTCTGTTATCGTTTCTCTTTCTTGTTCGTCAATCTTTTCTCCAGAAATCAACAAGTTACTCTTAGTCCCCTTGAGCTCCAATGACTCATCTCCCACTCCCAGGGTCTCAACTGGCCAGATCGCCTCGGCATTTGAATCATTGGAAGAATCTCCTATTCCTTCTGAATTCCCTTCGACCAACTCTTCATCATCATCGTCGTTGTTGTCATCGTCGTCTTCTTTTTTGAGTTGCATTGATGATGAAGTATCTTCAAGGATCTTTACAGTTGGGACCATCTCAAATATCTCGCTTACTGCATCCGCATCTACTGATGGAAGATGATCCTCTACATGGTTTTCCTCCCAATCCCAGCCAATAACGTTGTTTGGGTTGGGCAAGGCCAGTCTTTCCAAAATTCCAGCACCAAAACAACCCTTGGAGATATAATCAATTTCAAGCTCTGACAGGTTTTCCCATTTTTCACCGATAATTTCCTTCCCGCCATTCACCCTCAAACTGGGCTTATCTTCCTTCAACGTAAAACCAAAATAAATAAATACAATTTGGTGTTCAGATGAACTGTGCTAACATAATAGAGTTGAGATCTTGTGCCAACAAAACATCTTGTTTTAAACACGTTCCAACCCTCTACCAACTTGGTCTAACACTGTACATCTCACCATGAGACTGAGACCCACCATAAAAGTGGGACCTGTGTAAGATCATGTTGGTAAAGGGTTGGAACGGGTTTTGTTAGCAGATGATCTAGACTCAACATGATATGTGACATCCAGGAGTGCTAAAAAACCGAAAAATCTGGTTAACCAAATTGATCCATTCAGTTTTAATTAACTTAGGGGATGTTTGGAACCGTGGCCGTTTTAAAAAAAAAAACGGTGCCACGTCGGATCCACATAAGCGTTTCAACAAATGCCCATGTATCTCATTGTTTGATTCAGCCGATTATTAAAAATTCGGGCATGCCTCGAAAATTGGGACCCCAACGTTTCATGCATCGGTGTCCCATTTCCCCAACGGTTGACTGATGTGTATCCTATGTGGTGCTTACCTGTCAGCACATACATGAAAAATGGTGATGAAAATCACCTTACCAAACAGCATAGTATTGCTCACTGCCTACGTGGTAGAAGCGTTTTTTTATGAAAAACGAGTCTTAAAAGCATGGGTGTTTTTTCTTGAAAATCGGTCCCAAAAAGCACCCATGCTTCCAAACACCATGTTAAAAAACTCCAATTTATTGAACCGATTGGTATATATATACCGAACGATCAAATCGGTCAAAAACTGAACTTATCAACCAGTTAGCCGATACCCGATTGGTTTCAATTGAATCTCGGTTCATGATTTTCAAAAACCAGTGATACTGGTTCGATTTCAAAAAAGACCCCACGAAAGCACCCCCTAACCCACATCAAACTCCTTGGTGGTGGGCATAGGATGATGTCATTGATGTGGCATATCTTAATTTATACATATACGGGCTACACACCCCAATCACCAACCAACACATCAGCAATCCACACTGTTACCAGATCATGCATGGCAGCCGACGTGTTTATTTGTGATTGGAGATGCATTGTCCCTGTTACAGATGCTATAGACAGATAATCCGAGTCACACCCTTCTGCAGTTAAGCATTACCAACACGAGATTCTGAATCGCCACCAACTCGGAAAAATCAACATGGATCGAACCGATTGTCGACACCCATTCTTCGCTGCTGCTGCTGCTGCTGCTACCACTACCACTTAAGAATCAATCAAATTATTAGAAAGGATGAAAACAAAGCGTATAGATGATAATTTTACACAAGAGTAATCGACGCATATACCATCCATGGTGATGTTCATAATCACATGGAAATGGAATTTCCAGAAGAGAACGAAGCCCTTCCATTCCTTCATCTTTGCTGCAGTCGCAGTTGCTGTTCTTGCATGGCTTCGTGGGTTCTTCAGTTGTGTCTTTGATGCACTTCTGATGGGTGGTGGTGCGGGATGGTATTATCTTAGTTGTTCTATTTTTAATAGCCGATATCAGAGCTGCAGAAGCTATGACGCCACCCAACACAAGAATCCCACCAAACCCACTGCCACACTCACCACCCTTGAGCTCCATCGTCATCATCTTCTTCTTCTCGTTGTCATTTCGTTGATTCAAGTTGCCGCTGAGCTCCATTGCTCTTCTCCTGTCGAGGTTCACTTCCTGACTTTGCTTGGTTTGTCTTCACTAGGACCCAAAGCATACATAGAGATTAAATATAACAATTAGGTGAGGAGGTCTAATTAATGTTTCGATCAGAGTTTGAAGCGGACAGCTTCGGCAGATCCGCTAATTGCTGGTGTTAGTGAGTGGGTTTGTTCAGAAATTCTCGCAACCGAAGATTCTCTCACTTCACGATTAGATTAGACCGGGTCTGTAGAACTCGTGGAGCAGACCTGTACCAGGGACTCGGAGAGAGAGAGAGAGAGAGACATGCATGGTTCCCACCCTAGACCCTACCATCCGATACACCCCCTATCTCCAGATTAGTTATTCCCCAAGTAAACGTAATTTGATCAAAACCGTCGAGTGCACGTCCCACAAAATCTAATATGTAATTTCGAAGCAAGAACCAAGGCTTTTTCTATCCATCCTATGTTGCAACCTTGGGATTTGCAGTGCCGATCTGGAGTTACGTAGCTCCGGTGATAGTAAGCAGCACTAAGAGTGCTGACCAGCTTCAACATTTTGAGCCGATCACAGGATGCCCCTGCATGCCGCGTGTTCTGCTAACTCAAACACTTGTAATGAGATATAGGCAAGGTGCGCTATCTTTGCATCTTGATGGCATTACGGTGAACAATCCTGCATCTGATATTGAACAATAGCTCAAGATTATCTGCACCTAAAATTCTAGTTTAGACCTTCATCCTGGAATTTCCATTTATTTGTTGCCAACACAACACATCTAGAAAAACCAAATCTTTAATTTAGTTCACTAAAGAAGCTCCCTCTGAGATAAAAAAATCAACCTGCTGGAGGTTGCAGGTTTAATGGGTATACAAGAGCCTGCAAACCCATGTCGTCGATGCTATAGCACCCTTTCATGTCCAAATCCGACAGCCTCACTGGCTCAGCGCCAGCGGGCAACCAATTCAACATTCACTCCATAAGTTCAATAGCAACGATTTAATTGATTAGGCTGCATTTGATAAGAGTTTAAAAAGCAAATGCACTAATGTGAACGCAAATTTGTTGAAGAATGCACCAACTGATGGTGGTCAGTTGGTAGAATATCTGATAGCTAGCAGATACTTAAGATCAAATCACCGGGGTTGGGGTGTTAAGGGGACCCCAGTTGTGTAGGCACATGAGGCCAAATGATGAGTGTAAATACAAATCTCATGGCTGGAGCTAATTTATTTTACATTAATCAATTTTGAGCGTAAAGTTTGCTTTCATTTTACTTTTAGTTTACGAGTATAACAACAATTAAAAAAAGGGTTAATTTAGAGAAACTACTCATATATATCTTAAACTTTTAAAAACAATTTATATGTACCTTATTATTGATCTTTCCAAAGTTAAATCTAACAATAAAATTTAAAAGACAAAAGTATCCCTGATTATTCATTAAATTTTTAAAATATGCCATGCTTTTTTTTTTCTTTTTTCTTCTTTCTTCTCTCTCCCTCTCCTCCTCCTCCTCCTATGGGTTTAAAGATCAACCTCACATTAACTGTAGTCGGGCATTCACCTTGATCAACAACCAAAGTAGAAGAATTTGAGCTCAAAGCAGTAGGTGGTGAATACATGGTGTGACATCCTGACAAGGGTTTTCCACAGCCATGTGACTCTTGACAAGGGTTTCTACTGTTAAGGATGCAACCATGTGTGTGCTAACAACTTTAATTGTTATCAGTTTATTCTCTTATCTTGTTTTCTGTTTTCTGGCTAACCTGTGTAGTCACTTACGTATTGTACTTAAACTCAAATCACTTCCATTATTTATATCATCTGGACTTCCCTAATAAACATAAAACGAGGGAGTTATCTTTCCGTTCAACATCTGTGTTCTATCATCTACAGGACAGAGAGACCAGTATGCTCTTCATATTTCACCAATGATGTTGATCTCTATTGTCATGTCAAGACAAACAGAAACAGCGGTGCTCATGGATGGAATCACCTATGAGCTCTTTACACTTGTTGCTGTAGACCACTCACCCATCTCAGAAGGTATGTGGAATCATATCCAAGATGTAAAACACACTCACTTGTGTGTTTGGAGGTAAGCCTCTTGAAGATTGACGATTATATTAAAAAGCCAAGACCAAGCTCGAGGCAAAGCTAACAATAAGCACCGGTTTAGAGAACCGGTCCCAGTCTTCTTTCTTCTTCTCATAAAGCCACGACCAAGCTCCCGATGTTTGTTGGGAAGAAGATTTGCCCATCGTTTTGAAGATTTGGGGCAAATTTGGCATTATAAAAATTTTTGGAATGTGATGGTAACAGTTTTAAACGGTGTGAGGATTGGGGCCTTGTTTATGCTAAGTGAGGCCGATGAACAATTATATATATATATATATATATATATATATATATATATATATGTGTGTGTGTGAAAAAGAGAGTTATTTTTAAAATTTCAGGGTTTATAGAGACAGTTACTCAAATATACAGACAGGGTATGTATAAATAATCAACCCTTAAAAAATCAAATTTACTTTTATCCCCTACAAAAACATATCCTTGCCCTATAGTCAAATACCCATGAAATTGAACCAGAGTGCAAATTCACTTGGGTTTTGCACAAGTGTAATAAAAAATAATGACACCACCAACTGGTGTTGGTCATGCTTAATCAGATTAAGATGAACATCGCAGTGTAGTACCGTATTGGATATCCTATATTCCTATATTTAAGAATCATTATAGGCACTAATGACAAGTGCCAAGGGCGTTTAGTATGCACGTGTGCACGTGTGATTATGACAAGTAAAGGTAAAAATACAGCTCGGAATTAATGCCAATTTACGGGTGAGTATTGATGTATAAAATGGGGTTTTTTGACATTTTGAATGCTTATAGATCTGCAGTAAAATCCAGAAATCTACATTGAACCTATTCATACTCTCCGTAGATAAAAAATAAATACTTGCCTTGATTTTGGTGCAAATCATAACTGTTAAATTTGATTAATTTATCCTTCTTCATTTGCACATACATGTGCATAGCATGTTGCTTTACAGTAGTTCTAGAAAAAGAATATAATGTACCATGTATACGAGTATGAAAAGTTGTTTACCAAGAGAAATGTACGAGTAGAATATATATTTCTCTCTCAAAAATAGATTAAAATGGGGACTAAAGTATAACAAAACTTATTATGAAGAAATAAGGTATAACAAAAATAGATCCTCAACATCCATTATTGACAATTCGTGTCCTCCACTCCTCCCGAATTTCAAGGGAAAGAGAACAAAGAGAGAAGCCAGTTGACATCTAATCCAATACAAACAGATTGAGAGATAACGAAAGAGGGATCAGTTGACAACATCAACGATTAACTTGCGAGACTTCAGGACAGACCACTTCAAGCGCCGGTAATAAGCAGCTTGGAGAAGTGCGAGTGACAGTACAAATATCCATTTGAATCCCATCTGCATTTGGAATGCTCGAAAAGTCTTAAGGCTCAGTTTGGAAAGAGTAGAAGTACAAATATGTATAATGCACATACATACAAATTAATACAAAATACAAGCTTTTGCATTCTACATATTGTGAGCCTACTTGAGATATAACGCGGTTTGGACAAGTCACCCAACTTACCAGTTTCCTCTCTTCCATTTCCGGCTCTGCAGCCCATGACAAAAATGTCACCACATCTTTTCCCATCTGCACCAAGTTGTGATAAAGAATATTAGCTTCTCGTAACTTCATGTGTATAAGCAAATTAATTGTTAACAAAGATTGCTGGATGGGCTAGGATATTACCTGAGATTCTGTTGCAGGTGTACCATCTTCATACTCAACAGCACCATCAATAAGCATTTTGGGCATAGCAATTGCTCCTCCAGGGAAGTAAGGATTATAATGCAGCCCTTCTCGAATCTAGTCTCGCAATTAAAGGCCCGGTAACTGGTTAATAAATAGGAGAGCGATATGTTCCACCAGTGGAGAAACAAAATCCTCGAGTGATAACGAAAAGATTAAATGCACTCAAATTGTAACAAGTTAATCCAACACAAAAATCAACAACCATAAAATAAGGATCAGTGAGCCAAAAAGCAACAATAAATTGGAATGTCATTATCACAATCAGGTGAATGAGATGACTAAACAAACAACCTCCATCCAGCACATCAGCACATAAGAGCACAAACATGTGATCAGAGTGATCAACAACATGGTAGACATGATGATGCCTAAGATATGGAAAAATTAAATAGGGCTATCAACCACTGAATTTCAGGATATATCGTGGGAGACAAAATGAAAAGGGTTGTCTGATAGCCCAGGACCCAGGCTGTCCCTCTTGGAACCTTTTAGGGATCAACAAAATACATGCTAGTTAAGACTGCAAGCCCATGTACAAGCACCATGTCATGTATAAATTAGGGGTGCAAGTTGGGCACCCAATTTGAAGAGTTTACACTGCACCAGGCCAGGCCCTTTGAAATTTTAATGATACGACTCCCCAATCAAAGCCTTCCCAAGTTGAGCCCCTGGTATAAACCCCCAAAAAGTCTAACCTCAAGTTGCATTATTTTGCAGTCATCCATCAACATGATGCCCTCATCCGACATGAAATAATCTTTGTCCTCTACTCCCCCTAAGAGGAGCCATGACAGCCTCAAAACGTCTAACTTCAGGTTGCATCATTTTGCAACCACCCATCAACAAAAACAGAAGACTGTTCACATGAAACAATCTTCAGCCTACCTAGTAACAATCATTCTGGCATCAAGAAAGCCAGAAGACGCATGCATTATGTATGTTAAAAGAATGTGAATTCTTAAGTTATCCTTCTTTACATTGCACTGTTGCAGAATGTTCGGCTTCAACAATTTATATCTGTAGGCAATGCTAACAGTATTACAGTAATTGAGCAGCTTAATTGCAAATTCACTGTACAGAGTCCACAGGTCAACTTCTTACAACTATATTCAATATTAGAAATGGTAACCACTTCTTCATTCAAAAATAGACAAAGAAAAGGCAAAAGAAAAACCAAGATCTGACAAGTGACAACATTTCAAATAAAACAAGAAAGCAGTAAAAATTTTACGGAGATATTCACCAACTGCAAATTAATTATTTAATTATTAAAAAAAATAAAAAAAATACTAAGTCCTCGGGTTAATTGCATACATCTAAATCATAAATACAGAAACTGATTTCTTTGTATGTGGTGTAAGCATTAAATAAATAAAAACAACACAATTCTCAGCAATCACAATTCTACCTATCATCATCCAAGCCTTATCCTAACTATAAGGGTTGGCTACATGCCTACATTTAGGTCTTTCAATGGGTTGGGTCTAACCAGCAGAACCAAACGAGCCAAACCGATTATGCAGATTCTGGTTCCAAAGTTTTGTTTCCCGGGGTTGGTTCCGGTCCCATGTTTCCTGTCTCAATTATTATTGGATCAGTATCGGCATTAGTTGTCCTGAACCAATTCAGACCCAGACCAATTAATTATACATATATGATATATTATATGTCATTTTTGCAATATTAGTTGTAGTAATTGTCTAAAACTGTAAATTCAATAGCTTTATTAATACAAGGCAATGGATGGCATTTGAATAAAACCCTAATCTTTTGTCAATTAATCACTTTCTCTGCTCTTCTTCTCCTGTTAAGCGTTTCTCTTCCTCCTAACCCTAATCTTTCCTCACTCACTCAGTTTCTCTTGTACTCTTCCCCTGTTGAGTGTTTCTATTCTTCTCCTATCAAGTGTTAAAGCTTGAACTAACTGAGGCTACTCAAGTTGTTGTAAATGTATTATCTAATCAATAAGGTTTTGTTCTTGTTTCTGATAAAAAAAAAAAAAACTAAGGCATCAAAGTCTAAGACTGAGAGAGATGGTGAGTTGTCGGAGACTGGCACCACCAGCATATCCAGCACACAGCAGCTGACACCCAATGGTCCAAATCATTGAGAACAGCAGCAAGCTAGACACAAGTTATCAACAAATCTCTGCTTTACCGGCTCTAAGTGACACTCTGTACACAATTGTTCATAATCTTTTTGAGATACTGATTCTTTAGCCATTTTGTTTATTTCTCTCTGAGCTATTGTAAGTATCTGTTCCTTCAAATGAGGATGATGAACAGTAGCAAAGAACAGTACCATGTATATTTGTCAGCTATTTTGTTTTTTTAATCTTTCTATTAATATAATTGGTTCTTATTGGGTTACCAATTCTAATTTCAGAGACCCAATAGGGTCTGGTTGGGTTCTGGGTCTGCATATTTTATAGTCGGTTCAGGATGGATCTACCATGTTCTGAACCAGACCTGACCCATTGACAGCCCTAGCTACATGAATCCTGTCCTGCCACTTTGTTTTATTTAGTGCATATCCACTGTTAAACTATGGGCTCTCTTTGTAGTTCAAAGTTCAGCCTATATTCTTTTTGGTCTGCCCCTAGCTCTTCTAGCCCCTTCAACTTGTAACAGATCACTTTTTTTTTATGGGAAACAGTAACTTTCATTAAGCTTAAAGGAAATTTAGTACAACTGTCACCTTGATAGGCAAGGTGACCCCTCGAAATAAAAGCAACTTACACACCCAGAATAGAGTTTCCTACTAACTCCTTGCTTTGCTAAGGTGTCAGTCGTTGCATTTGCTGACCTTCTAGAGTCTAGAACATTAAAATGTGCTTTAAGATCCCTTTTTTATAATTAAAAATTCATTAAGATTTCATTAAAATCAGTTAAGGATAAGCAACTATTACAAGCCTCCCAGAGGGAGGCACAAGGTGCAGCCTCACTCTTAAAGAAAAAACAGCACAAGAATTACAATTGAGCCCAACACAAGTGATCCCTAATTACCTCTTGCTTAGCTAGAGAATCAGCCAAAAGCATTAGCCTCCCTCCCCACCCATTGTATAATCAAACTCATCTATTGTGTTAACCTTCTGTTGTGCTTCAAGTTCCTTTGTTAGGTTCTATATTTCCATTACAGGCTGTCTAAGGGACCAAGTGCCCAAGCTGTTTGTTTGCATCCAACCTACTTATTTGAATCTCATTCCACTTCTAACTGTTGAAAACCCAATTGTTTAGCCAATCTGACCTCCTGGAGGAGTGCCAAACTTCTACTCTTAGTGAGTCACCCAACCTATTGGGCCAGAGAAAAGGGCCAGAACTCTTCCTTCCACATCTCTAAAAACACCCCCAATTCCAGAGGGGGCAGGATTACCTACAAAGCTGCCATCAAAATACCCCAAATTCAGTTTTACTCCACAACAGCACTAATAAGAAGTGGAAGGAAGAGTTCTGATTAGTGTGAAACCGAATTTTGATGGGCCAAACTCTAACTTTTTCAATTTTTAATTTAAAAAGTTGAACACAAAAGATAGCTTATCAGTTATTTAGACTCTAGAACACATCCAAGGTTTTCTGGGCCAAAATTTTTCCATGAATCAGGAATGAGAAAGGAGTTTGGGGAATCATTTTCAGCCCCAGACTAACTTGCCTAAATAAATACATACAAAAGATATACTTTATCTCATTTTCTCATTAAGCATGAAATTAAAACAAAATTTCCAAATCTCACAAGTGTTTGTGATCGAAAATGAGTATGTTACATTTTCAAGAGAGAGAGAGAGAGTATGTTACCAACCTTCTATCCTAAAAAACTATATTCTGTGGAAGGTACCAGAATTCAAGAATTAGATAATAATCTATTCAATGAAAGAAGCAGAGAATTACCGAAATACCAGCAGGAGGATCGCGATAGCCAGTCAGAAGGGCAAACACATAGTTCTGGCCATTATGGCGGGCCTGAAAAGATAGAGTTGGAAACTGCCAACTTACCAGAAAGTTTTTATCAAAAGATATGAGAATTCAGAAGACTGGAAGTTACCTTGGTGATAAGGCTTAGATCTGGAGGATATGCCCCTCCGTTAGCAAATCTTGCTGCTTGTTCATTTGCATATGGCTGAGGAAAACGATCACTCAGTTTACCAGGGCGGGTAAACATCTCACCCTCATCATTAGGCCCATCATCCACCTCAATTTCTGCAGCCATAGCCTTTGTCTCCTCTTCAGTATATGCCACTCCCACAAGATCACGATATGAAATTAGAGACATTGAATGGCAAGATGCACAAACTTGTTGGTAAACCTGATGACCACGACGAATCCTGTCCAATATATAGTTATTATGCATAAGTGCTACATTATATTCACATAATCATGTAACTACTTCATATCATAACACTGATCAAACAGGAGTAAGAAGTGCATGCTTCTTAACAATTAATCATTGGCATAAGTATTTAACACGGAGAAAACAATCATACACTCACGATGCATGATCATATGAACTGAGAATGCCTTTATGAGGCCAAGGATAGCTCGGACACTCTAAACCATGTTCTGCCTCATCAGCAGATGCTATCGTTGCGAAACTCAAAAGTCCAGAAGCACCTGCTCCAATAAGTGCCATTGCCCTTAGAGACCTCATGCCAGCAGAGACAAACCCATCTTGATCCTGCTTTGGGGTGGAGGCAGATAATGATGGAAGAACCTGCAAATTATCATATAATTGCCATTAACAAAAAAATGCTGAAACTATTCTTCTGAGAATTAGAAATCTGGTAAACCTGCTTCAGGTATTAGAGGAGTAATAAGAAATGATAGGGGAAACATTCTATTTAGTTTCTCAGGGCACGTAGGTATTGAAAACTTGCTAATGACAAAATTGCTAGCCGTACTATATGAGTTAAAGTTTGATTCAACAGCTGGCTGGAATGAGTTACAAGTGGATGGAGACTGTCAAGTGGTCATAAAATGGATGACTGAGGTAAATATGCACCACAGATACTAATATTCATGGTTAGATTAGGGCTCCAACTGCTAACCTGAACTTATTGTCAGGACTCAGGAGCATACTTAAAATAGCAAATACTTTGGCAAATTCTTTAGCTAGAACAGGAACCACAAGAGATAATCCTGTCCACAGTACTCCAGGCCCAGGAGAAGATATGTAAAGAACAATTGTATTGAAAGAACAGGAATAGTTTGATTGCTGCTGCCACAATTTGTACCCTGCTACCAACCTTTTGGATGGATAGCAAGGATTTTTTATGGTCCATTAATGAAATCCTCTTTACTGTTGCTTAATGCTTATAAAAAAAATAGAAATTTGATAGAGTTCATACTACATCAGAGATTTAGAGGGACGTATAGCAACATACATTGTTGGCTGGCTGAAAACGAACTTCATAAAGGAGAAAAACAAAGAGGTGTCGTATCCCAAAAATAATAAAAAAGACAAATTAAAAGGAAAAAGAACAAGAATAAGAACAGAATTAAAGAGGTTTTTGAGATATCCAGTTGTCAAGCCCTAGACTAATGCTATTACAATAACTTTTTTCCAAAAATGCTCAGAAGATTGATAACAATTTTGTTCCTGGAAAAAAAAAAGAGAAAAAAACAAATGAACAATTTCTTCACCTCAAGGAATAATAGATCAATCGACTTGGTGGAAAACATGTATGCAATGTGCTTTAAAGAAAAAATTAGGGAGGTTCTATACAAATCATCTCTCCCTCCCAAGGCGACCTTGTAAAAATAAGAACATTTTCTTCTTTAAAAGCAAGAAAGTTTTAAACAAAATACAATGTGCAAATGAATTTGGAGAGAAACGGTGGGTGGGGAAGGGGACAAGGAAGTGGCTTGGCATTCAATGTTCATCTTGATTTTGGATTAAGCATATGAACATGTTGAATAATTTTGTACATATTACTCTTTTTTTCATGTGTATATTTTGGTACTTTTAAGTATTAAATCAGGTCTACATCGACATTCTTTTTGAGCTGTATAAAGTTACAATTTTAATGCTTTTTTCATATTGGAACAGTGCACACCATTTTGATTTTTTTTTGATAGGTCACCATTTTGAAATTTTCAAAATATAATCCATTTGAATGGTCAAAATTTTTTGTAGAAAAAATAATTACGAAGTTACAAATGTGAACACACCGATACCTAACTCAACAACAAACCAGACTCAGCACCAGGATAACAGAACATGTAGAGAATTACAAAACACCAATACCAACAATATCAAACATAGAACATAATTTAGAATCCAAAAAAGATGGGATAGGTCTTCAACAAGCCGATGAGGCTTGTAGATGGTAGGTGAAGAAATTCTCATCTACAAATTGTAGATAATACCATCTTCTTTCTGAAAGCTAACAAAAATGTCATTGTTTACTTTAAAGGAAATTTTGAAACCATCTTCAATATTACCTATCCAATATGCTAGACTAGATTTTACCAACCCATCTAGCATGGTGAATAGTTTCAGAAAGTCTTTTATGGGAAGATAAAATTCCAAAAGAAAATAAGATAACTAACCAAATAGACACAAGTTTGTGTCAAAGAATGAAGATTGACTTAAGTTTGTACCCAAGGAACAAATCACTTAGAGTTAAATGGTTGTAGAGATCCTCATAGGAGTCGTGCAGTAGGTTGGTGATTACTAGCACACACAACCTTGACTCTAATGGTTGAGGGTAAAATATATAGTATTGAAGCTCCATTGGAATATTGGTCTCCCTGCTTTTCTTTCTTGTGTCTGCATTTAAGTGGTCTTCAAATGATTATTAAAAGAAAAGAAAAGTGATCCTCAAATCAAATTCTGGGAAGACTTACCATGAGGCAACCTTGAACCTCCTCATTATTGTCCTTCCCTCATCTATTTAATGTCCCTACTCTAAGAAAGGCACGATTGCATACCTCATTATTCTTCTAGTTTCTTCTATCTATTCTACTCCATGGAGCTATAATTTCTTTACAAATATCAAAGATGTGGAGAAAGAATAGGTAGTTCAGAATTATTATATGTATTTATCTCTCAGATTGAATCACTAAGTATATTCTTGGGTTACATTAGACTAAAAGTTAAAAAAGAAAACTAGAAACACTAAATGCAATATAAATTAGGAAATGCAGTATAAAACAACTAAACAAGCGAAGGAAAACCAACGAAGTAGGAAGTACGAACTACAGAATGCCCCGCTCTGTAGTTCAACAGGCATTACTGAATCATGACTTATAACTTATTGCATGTAAGGAAACATCAATTCAAACAATAATCTCAAGAGACAATAAATCATCATGGTCATTGGCCGATGGAATAATCAATGTACGACAGGGTAAAAGTAGTTACTATCAGTTGTACCTGAATCTTATAATGTTCTATTGTTGTATACAAATCGATTATATCACTTGTAGGATTTCATTTCAAAAAACAAGTCTTGATTAAACTAATTGAGATCATCGTAGGCGATGCCTTGGAAAGTAAAGAAATCAAAACGAAGAAATGAAAATAAGAAGAGAGAGTCTTACGGTATATTGGGACTGAAGTTTCTTCCTCAGCAATAGCTGAATCGATCGGCTGACAGCCATTTGATTAGATCCTTTCTGTTGATTTGTTCAGCCAAAAACGGCAGAATCAGAAACTAAGATCTGATGAAAATAAACAGAACTCGACGAGATCTGATGAAAACCATATTGAATTAGCTTACCTGGAAGGGTCGACTGAGAGACTCTGAGAGGCAACCTGAGGTCCTGTACCTCGCAAGGGATGTGATTATGTGAGCCCCCTAATTATCGATGGAGAGCTAAGCTAATGGTGTGGTGGAGAATGGAGAATAGAGAAGGGTAGTTTTGTCTACTAAAACAGAGCGAGGGTTTTTTCCTAGGCTGCGATTAGCAGCCAAGGCTACGACCTGCACAATCACATTGTGCCACGTCTCCAATATAAGAAAGGGGAAAATCCATAAACCTCCTGAAGTTTTTCCATAAATTCTAAAACATCGCCGCACTTTTAATGTAATCCTTAAACATCCCCTGTTGTCTTCACCGGGAAAAAAATATAAAAATAAAGGGCAAGTTTTTTAAAGTACCACTAGTTTTTAAGGAAATTGATATACTCACCCCACTGCTTAGAAATTGATTTAAATTACTTCAATTGACAAATCTTTTCCTATTGTTAGTGTTTGTTAACAAAAATATTGAAAAGACTATTTTATTCATTATTTTTCTTTAAATTTTTTAAATAAAATATTTGGATAAACTTGTAATATTTAAATAATACCATGTTGGTCTTCTCCTCATGACAAACTTTTTCCACGGATGAAGATGTTCAACGAAACCATCTACAACCCAAAATTATTTGGGATTGTCTCCTTTCTTTGATGCTGCAAAGTCCTATTAACATGTGAACATGAGGGATTGTCTCCTTTCTTCCATGTCCATCTTTGTTCATGACCTTCAACTAATTAAAAGGTTGAGTTTTGTTTTAAAATCTTGAAAAATAATGAAGGGTAAAATTGACCACAAAGGGTAAAAGTGAGTTTAAAAAAATTCTCTATGTCACGTGGTGTCACATGTTAGTGACTTATAATGGGACGCTAATGGACAGAAATGGTAGAGAAGGATTTAGTTAATTGTTAAAACACTTAGGGTTACTTTAAGACAACGTCTAAACAATAGGGTAGAGTTAGGTGGCATTTGATAAATATGAAAAATTAAAAAGATATTAAAAGTATCTAAAATCTGAAAAGAGGCATTGATGCTTTCCTACTTTTTAGAGGCTTTGAATACTTAAGCTTGTTTGTGTTGGACCAAAACTTTAACATCTTAAATGTATTGATTTTATTATTTTACCCATAGAATATATTATTTGGTAAATTTGAGCTCAACTTGTACTATTTCATATAAAATAATTTATCAAATTCAAAATAATATTGAAATCATACAAAAAAATAATAAAATAAATAATAATTACGAAAAATAATTAATAATTAATAAATAACATAATTAAATTAATAAAAATAATTAATCACTACTAAAAATAATAAAAATGATTAAAATTTAATAAAAATTAAAATAATCAATAAAAATTAGTGATTACTAATTAATAATTAATAAAGTTATTCCTATTCTCCATTTCACAGTTCTACTCGAACAAACTAGTAAATTAACATTTGAAATTGACGATTACAAATATGATTTTCAATGTGCTAGGTCCATTATTCTTCTCCCGTTCTCCTTAAAATAATTCTATCAGAATATAGTGCAAATTGGTATAACTGTATACACAATCAAGCAGTAAATTTGAACCAAATTCGAGAACAAGAAAAACCAAAAGTGCAAAGAAAATCAAATATTCTAATGCATGAAACCGCTGTAAACGAGTACAGTACTAAAGCACCTTCTCCGTACTTAAAGTTTGGGAATTTCCGTCATCGATCTTGGATTTGAGAGACTTGTATCTTCAGTTGGGTCGACCAGAGAAGCATTCAAAGAAGAAAATAATCGATACCCATTTGATTCAAGTGGAGAAAATTTATAAATTATGGGAGAAATCATGGTCTGAGGAAGCTGGATTCTGCTAAATGTGATCGAAGAGGCTACATTCTTTCTTCCTCGTGAACTCGAAATAGGAAAATCGAATCTTGACAAGGTAAAGGAGGGATATTTACGTCTTTTGGCCAGTGTCTATGGCTTTCAGATCTTAAAAAGCATTTCAGATGCAATACAAATGACAATGGCCATCTTAAAAGTAGATAATTCAAAGTTCAGACCTCTAAAAAGAGTTATCAAACGAGGCCTTAATCAACTTCATAAAACTTATGGATACTTTAAGAGATTTTCCCAAAAAGAAAAGGAAGCCCAATTAAATGATTATGGGCAATCATTTCCCACTTGACCCAACCCGTAAAATTTTTTACATTGAATATAAAAATATATATTTATATATATCATAAAACTATACATATAATATTATATATATTATTTTATATTTTATAAATATGTCATGTAATATAAAATATTATATACATTAAATATAATGCATATGGTGGAATAGACCCAAAGCCGGACCAACCCATGAACACCCCTAGTTAACTTTGATAGAATGAGAGAAATATCAAGAATAGCTTAATTGCTACTTTATTCATAAAAATTGATCCAAATAAACATGAAACTAATAATGTATGAATCACAAACTCCACTTTTGAACTCCATTGACAGCCTTATTTAAACAAGTAATTTTGAATGTTTGGGAAGAGTGTAAATATACAATTATGCAAAGTTGGTGAAAATGATGTTATTTGTATTTGCACCCCTCCCAAATGAAGCCTTACTTAATAAAGGCGAACATGTTAAAGTTATATCAAGTTATCAATACTGTCTCTACCAAACAAATTTTTGACAAGGAACATTGCATGAAAATGCCGGGATATTCTATTGCCCAATATCCATTATATTTATAGTAAATCAGGAGTTGAAAAAATGCAGATATGCCAACCACCATCCAAGTCCACAACCTAGCAGTCCTCTTTGAAAAAGACTAGTTGGGCATATCATCTTATACATTGCAACAGATGTACGATGATGTAGGTATGATGGAAGACATAAAAGCACCATTCTGCAAATTAGGTGCATCTCGAGCGGGTTGGGTCAGGTTAAAGTCCCTATCCCCGTCCCCGTCCTCGTCCATCCCCATTCCTATTAATGGGGACAAGGTTATCCACATTTTCCATGATTTTTTATAATGTTAATTATTTTGTTTTTGTTTTTTATTTTATTTAAAAATTAAAAAATTAAAATTTATAATCCCATTAGAAAAGATTCAAATATATTCAACCATATTTTTAAAAATATTAATATATAGATGTATGTATACATATATACATATATAATGTATGCATACATATATACATATATATTAGTGGGGATCCCACGGGGTAGGGATCGGGGTCCCCCCGGGGCGGGGAGTGCTCTCCCCGTCCCCGCTAACGGGGATAAAAATTTCCCCATCCCTGTCCCTGCGGGGGAAAATCATCCCCATCCCCGCCCCATTCGAGGTGGATCCCCACGGGGATCGAGAAAATGGGAAAAATTGCCATCCCTATCCAAGCCCAACCTGAGGTGAGGCTCAACTCAAACTTTAAGCTATATAAGGTCAGGTTGGATAATTTGGTTGGATTTGAAAGAATTTATGAATACATTTTTATATGATTATTTTCCATTCGGCTTTATAATCCAATTTAAGAGTATGATGAGTTGAAAATGTGTAATTTTCATTTATAAATGTACATATTCGTGTTTGTTTTATATATAAGTGGAAAAAAAAGATGAATTTAAATAAATACAATGCATGTATGTATATATTTGTTTGGAGTATGGACGTATTTGGGTTGGGTTAGGCTAGAGTCGGTTGGACTTTCTAGGGCATCAACCCAACCCGAAGTTTAGGCCAAGCCCAACTTGCAGCCCAATAATGTAGGTCCAACCTGTACAAATATTCAGGTTGGGTCGAGTTGGGCCAAGCCTGCCGATGTTGTACCCCTAATGAAAACCATTATAAATTGGGGATGCTACTTATGCTCAAACTTCATATTAAAAATTTATTATTATTATTATTATTATTATTATTATAATTATAAACATTTGATCCCAAGGCTATACAACGAGGTAACCCCAACCCTAGTGACAGCACGATTTGATCCCAAGTAGCCAACGAGACTTTTGACGTTTTAGACGACAGAGAGAGTTTCAATCAAATGAGAGAGAGAACCTCGGAGTGGGTAATTGGGCACTAGGGGTTTCGTCAACAATGATGAAGAAGAAGGGCAAGCACCCGCACACCCCCCACGTTTTAGATGGAAGCACCAGCGTCGGGGTTGAAGAGATGCAAGCACCTACTCCTAAGGTTCAGACGACAAAGCATCAGCACCCCCATCTTTCAGACGACAAGTAGTGACATTGAGGTGAAGATAGAACCTTAATGTTAGAGGAATATTTAGTCAATTGCGAGAAACAATAAAGATACTTTATGACAATATATAAACAATAAGAATAGAGTTTGTCAATTAACTAAACAGTAGGGATAGTTTAAGAAATTATCATTCATAAAACTAGCTATTTGGTCACAAGAGAGCGGTGGAAAGGTATTATAGGATTCCCATCTGTACTCTCAACTCTCTAGGGCCCTATATAACTTGTCATGCTTCCTATTCAAGTATTCAATGACCATTTGTTTGGGAGAGTTTTTGGGATGCGTCTTCTAGTATTTCAAGCTAGGCCCAGTTGTGTTTGGTGAAAATTTAGAAAAGGGATCATTATGTTTTGGACATGGCAAATGCAATTAAAAGCATATAGGAAGCTACCCTAAATAGCTTCTCCTAGGTACTCAATTGCCAAAGATGAATCAATACACTTCACTTTGAAGATAAGTGTATTTACCCATGTTTTTTTCTTCATTTCTCATGTAAATAAGGTGATAATCATTTTAGCCATAAAAAAACCATTATTAAAAGGGGTAATTTTGTCTCATCCAAGTGTTGGCAACTTTTGCCCTTGGTGGAAAAGTTACTTATGCACTTAGGAGATGGATATATTGGGTAAGTGATATCCAAAGAAAATAATTTTTTCGTAGATCCACATAAATCTAAAAAAAGAACATAATTATTTTGGTCAATAAGAACCAAAATCCCATTAACCAACTTTCTCCAAAAACAAACAATCCATTTCTTTGATGCTTTTTCCCCCTCCCAAACCAGAATCCAAGTGTTATTTGGTGGATCAAAACCCTCGGCCCTCGCGCAGTTCCCATTAAAACACCCTATACACAATAGTTTCATTGCTCTCATAAGTCATAACTAGTGGAGGGACTGGATTCAAATTGTAACATTGCTATTTACTACATTAAAAAAGACAATGGCTTCTAAATAAGAAACTTGCAATTATAAGTACTCAAGTCTTGAAACTCATATAAAGACTTAAAAAGATCATCATATGCTTGTTTTTTAAATATTGTTTTAACAAAGCATTTCATATAAAAGAACACAATCATAGTTGTCTTTTATTTCACATTGAGAACTCTCAGTTGACTCGGACGGTAGGACCGTTCGGCCCGAGAACCATCCAGACAACTAGTTTCATTTTACCCCAAACCCGGTACTTGGCAAAAAATCGTTGAATCAGTCAATGACCCATTGACCCAGTCAATGGTTTTTGGCCATTCTTTATTTTTAATTATTATTATTTTTTTAATTTTTGTTGTTAAAACGGGCCATCCGTTTGAACCGAACGGTCATGAAAAGGATGGACATTGCATGAGATTCTAAAATCTTGAAAGATAAATCCAAAATGACTTTAAGTATAGAAAAAAAAAATTGATGGTAAATCCACCAAATTGAAAAAACCAAAAAAGATAATCAAAAAATCAAATTCAAAATACAATTTTGAGAGGAGTTAAATATAAATGCAATAAAAGAAAGAGACAAAATTTAAGGAGCTTCGTCAATCAACCAATCACACTGATTGTTGAGTTTAGCCCTGATAATCATAAAATTCATTTTAAAGTCCCCACAGTTTGAACTTTGAACCTTCTGGACTCTATCATGGATTTTTTTTTTTTAACTTTTAAATATTATAAATTTATTATTATTTAATGGAGGTCTGGATCATGGATTCATGAGGTGGGATGAGATTTAAGGTCCACTCATTTTCGAAGAGCTATCTCCCTCTCCTCCTGGATGATCGTCCTTCCATCCTTTTTTTTGGGTAGGTCCCCTGGATATATGATGATCTGATCATTGAGGGGGGCATGGAAAAACGGTATACCGGCTTCTTTCTGGTTTGTAGATATTCATATTCATTTCCGTCCCCCAGTGGGCCCCTCCCCTCTTGGAAGTTGGAACCAACTTGCCAGCTGATGACCTGATGAATGATGATGTTCGCAAAACGGGACCCACGTGTCATTTTCCTTTTGAAATTCGCAGAATCTTACGGTCGCTGTCTCTTCCCATTCTTACAACCACCCATTTCTTTTAATTTTGGGGAGTGTTTGTGAACGTCCAATACCAGAAAAAAAAACACACCACCTTATTCTTTTTATTATTTCCAATGATTCAATCCTAATGTGGGCTCGATTCGCTAAATACTCGAATTCGGTTTGAAAATTATTGAGTTGAGTTGAGTTGAGTTTGATTCGAGTGAACCGATCGTGTAATTAGTTGAATTAAGTTTGAGCTTAGTAATACCCGGATCAAGTAGCTCATAGGCGTAATCGAGTTTCTAATAAAATATTATTTTATTTTTTAATATATTTTTATTTAAAATATAAATAACTATCTATTTTTTATATTAATTTGGTTATAATATAAATAAATAAAAATTGATAATCAAATATCATAATTTATTTATTTATAAATAATATTTTAAACATTAATTTATTTATAATTTTTAGTAACAATTCATTTATAATTGATTCAAGCCAAGTCCAGATTGAATATCTTGCAAGTATCAATTTGAATCGAATTCGAGTATAATAACTCAAACTTAATCGAGTTTTAGCTCGAACACGATTACACGAACCTCCCAAAATTAGACTCGACTATACTCCATTACACCAAAACAGGGCCTTCTGTGTTGATTCAAACTACGTTGGACGCATTTAAAATTAGGATTAATTGTAGATTGAACGGACTAATGCCATTATTGATAATTAGATGATTCCAATCCGAGGGAAGAAAAGTGTCTTTGTTTATTGGCCTAAAAATTTAGAAAATTAATTCATTTTGTAACTGTCTCAAATTTGTCGCCAATGAATGACGAACACGTAATTCATTCAGCGTGGTCTCTCCTGCAGGCTGCAGGCTGCAGTCTGCAGCATCCATCACTAAAAAAATATCGAAGCTTTACTGTGACCTTTTTTTTTTCTTTTCTTTTCTTTTTTGAATTTATTGTGACCATTGGATGAAAAAGAAAGAAACGATGGACGAAGAAATGGAAAGGATTAAAAAAAGGGAAAGCTTATTTCGACTTTGTCCGTTTCAGTATCATTGGACGTAGCGGCCGCACTATTAATAAAAGGCGTTGCCCAAGAGCAGACCCCCAGGATCTCTCTCTCTCTCTCTGGAGTGGAGTCTTAAATCTGCAGTAAGATGTGCGGAGGGGCTATCATCTCCGATTTCATCGCCGCGAAGCGTGGTCGTAAGCTGACGACGCAGGACCTTTGGTCGGAATTCGATACCATCTCCGATCTCCTGCTCAAAGACTCGTTGTCTTCTTCTTCTTCTTTGACGGAGTTGGAGAAGAAAACGCAACCAAATGGAGGTCAGATTTTTGTTTCTGGGTTATATTTTAAAGTTGGATTTAGTTGGTTTTAAAGTTTTTAAACAGAAAAAACTGAAAAAAGCCTAACGTCGTTTAATGTTGTGTAGGGACGACGGGTGGTAATAACAAGAGTACTAAAAAGACGAACACGGTTGGAACAGATCAAGAAGGGAAGAGCAAAAATAAGGAAACCCGAGCTCGAAAGAACATTTACAGGGGTATCCGACAGAGGCCGTGGGGGAAGTGGGCTGCCGAGATACGCGACCCACGGAAGGGCGTCCGTGTGTGGCTCGGTACTTACAACACCGCCGAAGAGGCTGCTATGGCTTACGACCAGGCGGCCAAGAGGATCCGAGGTAACAAAGCGAAGCTCAACTTCTCTGAAATGAAGCCTGAATCGGTTCCATCACCACAACCACCACCAGCCAAGAGACGATGCTGTTTCGTCCCCGACTCAGTCCAGAAGAGTTTTCCGGCCACAGAAGGAGAATCGGATACTATCACGGCCACGTCATTTTCTTTCAAAGCGGAAATATTCTATAATCAACACACCAATAGTAAAGTCGAACTGAAAGAACAGATTTCTAACTTGGAATCGTTCCTGGAGCTTGAGCCTGAAGCAGCGGAGTCGGTGGGGAGTGTGGAACCGGAAGCAATGGATCTTTGGCTATCGGGAGACGTTCTCATTACTCCCCATCGTCTCGTTTACTGAAGTGGAGTCATTTTCCCAATGAGTGTGTGTGTGCATGTGTCTGTCTGAATATGTGTGTTCGTACCAGTGTTTCCTTATTTTGCTACAGTTTCGACGTTGCGCATATGTAAACCACATATATAAATCTCTCTCTCTCTCTTTGATAATTGATTCATGAATTGTGGAGGGTTGGGGTGGTTGCGTCAACGTTTAATTGTCGTGGTCTGTGCTTGTTTGGGATGATGTGTGTGTCGTCAGTGCATGCATCTGGACCAGTTTCCACGATTCCGTTGGTACAAAAGATCTCATTTTACAAGGAGTAGTAGCAGACGTAACTATATATATTATAAAATAAACAATTCTATTAATTATTTTAGTAGTATTGAAGATGGTGACGATAATCTATGATTAATTGTTATTATGTAATAAATATTAATTGTGTATGGACTAAGTAATGGTAAACTGTTGGGGTTATTAATTATGAAGCTAATTAAACCTAGATTACAGGAGAAAGTCCTTGACTCCTTTCCCAACTCCCAAGTGTTTGGTAGCCACGTGTGTATCATGCATGCATGTGTACGTGTTGGTGTTGCGCATTAATTAGATATCGTTCATGGAGTAAAGTTAATTCAATATGGAGTACTACTCCAGCAGAGACTCAGGTCCGGCTGGGTTTGGCCTGTTATCGGTCTCTTAGGCTGCGTTTGGATGCTATTGAGCTTCAACATCATCAAAATATTTTCTACGAACTGAATCTGTGTCTTGCTTTCTTCTTTAGGTTGCCTTAGCCAGTATTCCACTGCGTAACTTTAGCTTTGCATTCCAGTGTCATCAGAATCCTTTTCTTTTCGTTTCGCTTTTGCATGCTTGCAGCTTTTGGAAGCTCTATATGATACAAATATTATGGCTTCGTTTGTTTATGGTGCAAATCTGAATTAGTTACAAAATTTGCACCCAATTCGATAAGCTTTCCATCACTCTTATCTAATATAAAATTTATACTTTTGGCGAACGAGTATAGGCTCAGTTTGGAAGGAGTACAGATACAAAAATACAAATATGTAGAGTACAAAATTAAATAGAGTTATAAATACAAATATCTAGAGTGTAAAGCCTTGTATTTTGTATGTATTTGCATTTCAGCATTTGTACTCTTTCCAAATTTAGCCTGTCTCATTTGGATTAGTGAGACGGTTGAGTTTCTCCATTGTGACCTGGATGACCAAGCGTTTGTTTGGCATCGATGACGTTGCTCCAGAAAACGGTGACACATCAGCACCACATCAGAAAAAATTGTGCTCCAGGAAACACCTGCTTCTTTGGAACTATTTTTCCATAAAAAACGATGCTCTAAGCCATGGTTTGGAAATCGGGAAGGCGTGGTTTGGAGCAACACCGAATTTGGCATTTCCTGGAGCTGCAGCTCATTGCTGCCGATAAGGACATGAGGTGGCAGTGACAAGGACATGACGTGGCACTGGATAATAGGTACCGGTGTTGAAAACGTTTCCTAGAGCATCGGTACCAAACAGAAAATGTTGTTATTGCTCCAGGAAACGTCTTACCCCTGGCAGCAACGTTTCCAAAAAAAAAAGACATTATTTTCTTAGAAAACGTTGGTTCCAACCCACACATCGACATCAAAAAATGGTGTTGTATATGCAACATTGATTCCAAACATATACCAAAGTTCAAATCTTGAAAACAACTTTCTATATGTGGAGGGGTAATACATCTATCCGTCCCCAACCCCCCATTGATAGGAACCTTGTGCATTGATGAGGTACCCCTTTATAAAGTGAGGACCATATCTTCTTATCTCACTTCCAAATAGATAACCCTCCTCCTAACTACCTTTATCCTCTTCTTTAAGATAGAGATTATGCTATTTTAAGTTATGTTTTACTTCCTGTAAACAAATTAGACAAAACCAGAGTTTACATTCAGCCTCTCTGCAGTCCCATACATTTACACCATGCAAACAAATTGAGCTTCACTACATAAAAAAAAAGTCTTTGGCAACAGTCACCACATAAGAGTTATAAATGGTTGTCGTTAAAGGTAATTTTTAGCAACAATTGACTAGCAGTGTTGTGAAACCAATGTATTAAAAACAGGTATCATACAACTGTTGCTAACATTGGTCCTTTAGCAACAATTGACTAATAGTGTTGCTAAACCATTGTATTAGTTATGGGTGTTGTCCAACTATTTAGAACATCAACACGTACCTTAAGACGAATAATTCACTGGATGAGATTAACTAAGGGTCCATTTGGTTCACAATTGGATTGGAATTTGAATCGGAATCGGAATGGCCCATTCCCATAGTCTGTTTGGTTCGGACATGAATGAGAATGGGAATTGAAATCAGCAGAAATGAGATTTCATTCCCTAACTAGGGAGGGACAGGGAATAGCCATTCCCTCAAATGGGGGAATGTCATTCCTGTAGAAATGGGAATGAAATTCCGATTCTATCCAACCAAACAGTTGGAATCAGATTCCAAACCCCTATTCCCATAAACCAATGGGGCCTAAATATATTAATAACAATATCAATCATATAAAAGCCATAAAACAAATGATGCCTCCAGACTTATTTTATATTTTTATTGACCATTTCAATGGTTTCTTCCTATAATGTTATGCCATAGTATAAATGGAACAAGAAATTTGATTGGTTCTTGGGTTGGACAGTTCTAAGTCAACATGATCTAAAACATTGATATATAGCAAGGTTTTAAAAATTAGATTGGACACTGAACCAGTTCCCGGATCAAATGGTACGACTGTTTAATTTGAATAGACGGTCTATTTTGATTTAAAAAAATAAAAAATAATTAAAACAAAAAAGGCCAAAAACCATTGTTCAGGTCAATGGTTTGACCGCCTGGGTTAGTGGATCACTATCAAATCAACGATTTTTGTCAAAAGTATAATTTTAGGGTGAAATAGAACTGGTTGCTTGACCGATTCCTCGACCACCCGGTCTGATCTGGTTTTCAAAAGCATGATATATAGTATACCTTCACTCAAATAAGCTTAAATATACAAATCAATGCTGAAATATCAATGACAGTGTTTGGAGAATTGAAATGAACCATTTAGTTGGACCGAAAAAAAATTGTGAATCCAACCTCTTCGGTTAAGCTCCAAAAACCGAGGGTGAAAAACTAGCCATAAGCCCATAACTAGCCAACTAGGAATTGGTAAACTGGTCCTGGATTCATAAAATTAATTGCTTTTTATTAATTTTTTTTTACGTATATCCCAACTTTTTAACTCTGCACTCAGAGAGAGAGTTCAGATTGTTTTTTTTTTTACTTTTTTTTTGGGTAATTTTTTAAACATTACCAAGTACTTTGTCTAGTATGGGCAATAGGGTGACCATACTCTCCATCCAATATAACATTGAAACAAATCCCCATCACTGACCTCGATAACAAAAATTACCCTCCATCCTTAATCCCTAGTAAAGATGGATTCCCCGTTGAGGATCCAAATCTTTAAAATTTTTTAATTGAACTTTTTTAGAAAATAGATTTACTTAAAATAAAGAAAAAAATTAAATATAAATAATATTTTAATATATATATATATAATATAAATAATATTATAAATATATTTAATACATATAATCAGGTTGGAGTGGGGCTCCATCCTAATTGGAGATCTCTATTAATCTCCATCCCGCACCCTCTAAGCAATCTCCATCCCTACCAACTATTTTTTTGCAAAACAAAAACATGCCTTTATTATGCTTCAATTATTGATTTTGCTGCTAATCTCTCTAATTTTGGCATTAATTTTGGTGTCATTTTTATTTTTTATGAGAGGGAAATATTTTTCATTTTTGCACGGGAGAGAGCTTCCATTCACTCTTTATGGCTGAACATCTTCAGAAGAGGAACTCAAGCCATCAATCATAGTCCCTGACCCTATCGAGACAATCCTCTATTTCTTATTTGCTTTCACTCCCCAACCACCAATCGAACTTAGGTAGCTGATTTGATTCAAATAAAACTATTTTACCATAAACCTCCCTTGTTGGAGCTTCTTTCCCATGTATTGTGATCCAAAACCCTAGGGAAAGCATGGTAGCTATGAACAAGGTTTAAAATTTCGATACGATACGCTCGATATGGGGCGTATCATATCTTTGAAAGACAAATACAAGATACAAATGGAAATCGGGCGTATTGTTTTTTTTATACATATTGGGGTGTATTCATAGCGTGTTGACGAAAAAGATATGGCAAAAAACTGAAATAAAAAATTAAAGGGGGAAAGCATGATTTTTTTCCTTGAAATAATGCTTCTTTCACCCACAAATGACTTTAAAACTCCAAACCTCATTACTAAAGTGCTAGATTTGCAAAAATTTGCAAGAAACAAGTGTGAATCATTAATTTTTTTTGAAGATTTTTTAAAATTTGAAAAAAGGCAAAATAGGTGTTTTTCAATTTTTTATAATATCTTGTGATTTTTTTTTCTTTAATGTTTAAATTTATGTTGATCTACATTTATTGCATTCAAAATCACAATTTTTTTGTGTGTTATCAGTAGATTTATAAAAATTTTATGAAGATATTTGGGGAAAACATAAATATACAAAAAAAATTGAAAATGTAATTTTTTTTTCTGCCTATAAAGACTAAATATGTTTTAGATCTATGGATTTATCTACCATATCCATAAAGCAATTGAAATTTCTTCTTTAATATATTTTTAATTTTTTAATTTTTATATTATAATTCTATGGATGATCTATCGTATCCACAGACCCATTGAAATTTCTGGTTTAATATATATTTTTTATTTTTTATTTTTAGAATTAAAAAATAATTAATTAATTAATTATATTTTATCATTTGGTCACAATGATTGAATATATTATAATTATATAGATGATCTATCATATCCACAAATCAATTGAAATTTATTCTTTAATAACTATTTTTTGAATATATTATATAATATTTATTTATTTTTTATAAATTTTGGAAATAAATAATTATTAATTATATTTTCACTTAGAAGTTGTGCAAATGCATATTTTATGGTTGGATAAGAGAGTTGGGTTTTTTCCCATCCCATAAAACTTTAAATTTTAATAATTATAATTTATAAATTATTGTTAAGCATAGAATTTTTAATGAAATTATAATTAACTACAATGCATTTTTTCATAAAACCATTAAAATA